AAAAAAAAAAAAAAAAAAAAAAAAGTTTGCTTCTATACCTAGGTATTTTCTTTTCCCTGTGTGATGGTCAGGTACAATTATTTTTAACAGGGTTCCCATCCCATAACTAGATAAGATGCCTCAAAGATAATGTTGGAGAATTGTTATGGGCTGTTTACAAAATGTGTACCCAATTGTCAATGAAGTCACTTGATTTTTTTTTTCCTTTAAAAAAATTTTTTTTTTTTTTTTTTTGTATCCTTTTATTTTACTTGTTTTTATTTTGTATCCTTTTATTTTACTTGTTTTTTAAAGACAGGGTCTCACTGTTACCCAGGCTGGAGTACATTGGCACAATCATGGCTCACTGCAGTCCCTACCTCCAGGGCCGCAAGCAATCCTCCCACCTCAGCCTCCCAGGTAGCTGAGACTATAAGTACACGCTGCAATGCCTGGCTGATTTTGTTTTTTGTTTAGTTTTGTTTTGTTTTTTGTAGAAATTAGGCCTCACTATGCTGCCCAGGCTGATCTTGAACTTCTACACTCAAGCAATACTCCTACCTCGGCCTTCCAAACTGCTGGGATTATAGGCATGAGCCACTGTCCCTGCGCTTTTTTCATTTTAACTGAAAACTGTGATCAGCTCTTTTGTTCCTTAGTCATTGCTCATTACTTTTGTTGTGTGTGTTACTTTTGTCTTAGAGTTGCTGTACTTATTGCACAGAGAATGCCTTTTATCATGATCAAATTTATTTTGGGAAATTTCAGAGAAAATGTTTTTCTAGAACACCTTGTTTAACATTATAAAAGAGCTCTTCACTCTTACACTTCAGATCTCCTTTTCCAGCTTTCTTTTTCTCCATCGTGGTCGTTACCACTTTTTTATTTTATTGATTGACTATTTGGCTCCCTCCACTACAAAGTAAACTCCACAAGAACAGAGAGTTTTGTCTCTCATTCATTGCTGTACCTGCAGCACTTAGAAAGGGTCTGGCACCTAGGAAGTATTCAGTACAGGTATTGATCGACTTACGACCTATGCAACTTACGACCATTTGACTTTATGACCACAATCGCTAGCCATGACTGCTCCACGTCTGGCAGCGCAAACGTTGCCCAGCTGGGCGTATGACAGTGCGGACCAGCTTCCGGCAGCACTACCATCTCCGTGTGCACCATTTCAACTGTACATATAGCCTACTCAACTTATGACCAAATCGTGTTACGACCGGTCTGCCGGTCCAAATCATGGTTGTAAGTCGAGCACTAGCTGTAAATATTTATTGAATGCATTTATGTAAAACATCTCAGAGTCCTAAAAGAAACTGGTCTTTTGGGGTTAGAGAATAAAGGCCTTTACCTCATCATTTAGACTCTATCTAAGGTACATAAGGGTGTTCTAGTCTCCTGAGTTAGTCTACTAATAAATGTTAACACTAACAACTGAAGTAGTTAACAAAGGTAATTATCCAGTTCTACATCAAGCCAAAAAGAAAGCAGTGGATAGAAAGATCTTAAAAGTCCCGCTAGGTTCATCCAAGCCACCATACACATAGATAGAAAAATCAAAATAAGGTATGAGTCTGGACAGGGTGAGCAATCTAGGAAGAGATGAACACAGTATGCTAGGACCCAGAAATCAGCAAGTCTATGAGAACTAAGCCAGAACAGAAATGTGAAGTCCATCAGATCAGGGACATAATCTGTCTTGTTCATTCAGGCATGGTAATCTGCCAGAAATAGTGCTTAACTCTAAGAACTGAATATTTGTTAGATCGATAACTAAACCATCAACTGAATGACATTTATGCAACCATGAAAAATGTTGCTGTAGGTGCACAATATTGATATACTACAAAGTTAAAAAATCAAATTGGAAATTAGACTGCTATTCCACTTTTGTGTGTATCTATAAATAGGTAGAAGGATATACCAAAATGTCAACAGCAGTTATCTCTGGGTAGTGAGATTGGGAGTAATCTTAACCTTCTTGCTATTTATCCCTATTTGTTCATTTGTGAATGAATATTTATACATCATTATAACAAGGATTTTTAAATGATCTGTATGTGTGAGAGTATATGTTGCTACACATGTAAGAGTATATGCTGTTACTATAAAGACATTGCATCACTACTGTTGACCTCAGAGCATATGCCTCTTGCCTAATTCTAGAACTCCTAGCTAAGAGAGTTTCAGCTGGAAGAATGCTGGAGGAGTAGGGAGCTCCTCCCATTTCTCACAGCCACCTCCAACTCTTAAAAACACTTCCAACTGCCTCCCAGCACACAACCAAGGGAGAAAACTATTCTGTCAAAGAGACCGTGCCAAAAGGCAAAAACAAAGGTAAGGATGTTCGCTGGGGAAAGAAACTGAAAAGGAAAAGCTCATAACTCTAACTGGAAATTTGGCTCACATCCCTAGTATGTTACTACATAGTTTGGCTTTATTGAATGGGTCGCTTTTAAATGTTAAGGCAAGATGTAAGCAAGGTTTGCAACAAAGTCCATAAGACAACTCAGCTTTTTACAAAGGCAAGAAAATAGCAGGATTTTTGACTGGTACTTTATTCAATAGTGCTTCTTATTAAATTACCACTGTGACAATGTTTAAAGCCAACTACCTAACCATATCATAAGGATTCTCTTACCAGTTGTCCCAGTTAAGTAATGTCTATTGATCAACTCCTTGACAGGAGCTGATGGCAAAGAAGGTAGCTGTGATTGGAGCTGGGGTCAGTGGCCTGATTTCTCTGAAGTGCTGTGTGGATGAGGGACTTGAGCCCACTTGCTTTGAGAGAACTGAAGATATTGGAGGAGTGTGGAGGTTCAAAGTAAGTGAGGTTTTCTTGGGTCTTGAACAGGTTGTGTTGTTATTTCAGGGTGAATCATAGTTACTGATGGGCCATATTGAGAAATTTATTAAACAATTTTGATGAAATTTTATTTCTATTTATTGATGTGGCCATGTGGGAACTAAAGTCATAGGCTGGCAACTCTCCCCAGGTCAATGATAACCCAACTCAGGTAGCCAACTCAGGCATGTAAAAAATCTCTTTTGGATTCAGCAATTGTCTTACAGCCCATTCTTTTGTCATTCTTTAATATACTAATATTAGAAAACATTTTACAAAATAGAACAGGGATTCTTTTCAAGATATCACTTCTGTTTCAATTATTGAACCAAATGCTTCTTTAGAGACCCTCCTCTTATTACTATTTTTTCTCTGACAAATGAACCATGTTTGTTTACTAAGATTTATCAATGACATTCTAGTATAACTGCTGTAAAACTCTTTGTTAAATATGTTTAATTAAATTCATTTTATTAATGAAATCAAATATTGATAATGCTAGTTGTCCGTATTCATTTGTCCTCATGTTCCTTTGAAAAAACACCTGAGACCAGGTGATTTACAAAGGAAAGAGGTTTAATTGACTCACAGTTCCACATGGCTGGGGAGGACTCAGGAAACTTACAATCATGGCAGCAGGAGAGAGACTCAGCAAAGGGGGAAAAGAACAGTGCTGAGCAAAAGGGGAAAAGCCCCTTTTAAAACCATATCTCATGAGAACTCACTCACTATCAGGAGAACAGCTTGACGGTAACTCCCCCCTTGATTCAATTACCTCCCACCAGGTCCTTCCCATGACGTGGGGATTGTAGGAACTACAGTTTCAGATGAGATTTGGATGGAGACACAGAGCCAAACCATATCACTGTCCTTCACAATTTGTATAAAAAGTAGAAAGCTGCATAGCTAGATAGCTATAAGGATTTATAATTATTCCTTCCCACAACCTCTGAATAGGTAGCAGCTTACCCCTTCTAACTGTGAGATCTTGAGCAAGTTATTTACATCCTGTGTTTCAGTTTACTCAGTTATAAATGGATATATTAACAGGAAAGTGCGATTATCTCCCAGTGCTATTTTGAAGATTAAGGGAGACAATTTACATAAAGAACATAGATAAGTTCCAGACTCAAAACAGAGTTCAGTAAATGTTAGCTGCTAACAACAGCCATATATTTTATAGATGTGCAAACTGAAAGAGAGTTAAGTGAGATGGCAAGGGCCACATGACGGGAGGAACTGGCATTCAAGCCGGGGCCTCTATGACTTCTAAACAGAGTAGCCCTGATTTATAACTATGCCCTAACTTACAAAAGTTTAAGTTTAGAACCCAAAAGCAATGGCTTTGGAATTATTTATCAGGCATCTCTAACTGAGACACTAAAACACATGAGAATATTCCAGATGGGAGCAAAAGGTTTGAATACATGAAAAGCAAACTCAGGCAGGAGAATTGCTTGAACTCAGGAGGCAGAGGTTGCAGTGAGCCGAGACCATGCCATTGCACTCCAGCCTGGGTAACGAGAGTGAAACTCCATCTCAAAAAAAAAAAAGTAAAGAAAAGAAAAGCAAACTCATGCAAAGGGCTCTCACTGCAGGCTGACTAGTTGGGAGGATGGCGAGGTGATCCAGGACCTGTGCTTTGGCAGTTCAAATTGAATCTCATGCCAACAGGGATCTTTTTTATCATTTAACATTAAGTTTCACAAGTACATATCACCATAAACCACACCTGGAGGGTTTTACTTTCTTTCTTTTTATTTTTTTTAGGCAGGGTCTTGCTCTGTCACCCAGGCTACCATGCCCAGCTATGGAGAGTTTTTTTAAAGATATTGATTCCTTTGGTTAAACAAACCTGCCTCCCACCCCCCCCACACACACAATGCTGATTCATGGGCCCCAACCCACACTTACTGACTCAATCTTCTGGGGGGTTTTAATAAACATCTCGAATGAATCCTAAGACAAGCTTGGTAATTTTCACACAAACACCTAATTTAAAAATCTGATCATTCAACTATTTAAACACACTCAGAGTTAATAATAGAGAAGGAAGAAATTGATCTTTCTGTAAGACAGGTAGCCTTGGAAAAAGGAAAACAGCTTAAATCACATTCATTTCTTATTAAAATCTGGTGATTAACATCATTTTAGCTTCTCCTGGGATGGCCATATAATATGGTGGTCATTCCTGTCTTAACCAAAGATATTTCGTCCACTCTAGGTTCACATGTAGATTTCAGTTGGGGTTTTTGTGTTTTTTGTTTTGTTTTGTTTTACTCCCAGATAGATTCTTAATCTAAGGAGAAATGTGGAAATTACAGTTGTTCCCTGGTATATGCAGGAGATTGGCTCCGCAAACTCCCTCCACCAGTATCCCAAAATCCTTGCATACTCACATCCCACAGATAGCAAAAGAGATGAGAGTCAGTTTGACTAGTCTGTCAATAATATGATTTGATTAATTCTAGGAAGGTATTTTCTGCAGCAAAATATTTCTCCAACTATCCTATTGCTAGTAACTAAAATTTCAGATTAGAAATACCTTCCTATTCGCTAGAAAAACTGGATTAAAACCTGATTAATTAGGCTTTATTGAATATTAAATGTTAACTATATAACTGTGGAACTTGTAACAGTATCTATCACATTTCAAATTTTTCTTATAAATATATTCAACAGAAGAATGTAAACTATTGTCTCCACTCAGCGGAGTCAAAGAGTCCAAAGAATCTCCCTGCAGAGTGAAACATAAAAGCAGAAAATTTTCATAGGCTGCCTGCACTAGGGCTATGTGAGGGTCCTGATTTCCAGGTGGCTAGGAGTTTCCAAGAAGGATGCTGGGAGTCCCTGCTCTTCCCTGGGAAACTTTGCCTCTCCATGACTCTACCATCCAGAAGCAATTTTTATAATGGGTTATTTATGAATTGTTATATTTACACAAACCCTTCTGAGATTATATAACACATTTGATGGTGACGAGTTAATAAATAAAGAATTCTTACCCTGTGCCCAACCTAGACAATACAGAATTCTTCCAAACTCTCCAGTACCCCCTAGTGGCACATATGGACCATGGGCCAGCTAGGTAATTAGTATACACGTTTGGCTCTGTTTCTAGCAATGGGAAGCACTTGGCGACCATCACCTCACTTTTCTTCAAAAAAACTGCTAGAAAGCACGTATTATTATTATCTTTATTTACATCTTAAGAAGAAATAGGTTTCAGATAAATAATTTGCCAGGGGAACATAGGTGGTGGGGGAAAAAAATGAGGGTTTACAATTTCAGAGCTCTCACACTTCATAACCTTGCTTAAGTATTGATAGAGGAAAGCACGATCTTCTTTCAGCCACTAAACTTCCCTGCTTCCTTTATTGTTCCTAATACCTTGTATTCACAAGGGAGTTACCATGTACATTTTTTTGTTTTTGTTTTCTTTTAACATCTGGATCTCCTCCTTTTCCAGGTGTATGTTTAGTTATTTTAATTTTCACGTAATACGCACTAGACATATCTCTATGTTGGTTTTCTTCCTTTAAGTTCAATCTGAAATATCACTTTCTCTCTTAAAATGCAGCTCCCCCAAGATCCAATATTCCAAACATATTGCCAATAAGTATATACCCTGTACCCTGAAAGCAGCAGAAAAAGTGGAAAATACCTGAGCCAGGGAGCTTAATTAGGGGGCTCTATCACTGATCAAGGCCAGTGATTAAAGGAGACACCAGCCTAATGGAAAGATGACAGAAGACAGCAATATTCTAACAGAGATGTGGTTCACAAAGTTCATGGTGCAGCAGCAGCTAGGAAACACTTTTAAAATAGAAATCTGGGCCCTTCTTTTTTTTTTTTTTTTTTTTTTTTTAGATGGAGTGTCGCTCTGTCACCCAGGCTGGAGGGCAGTGGTGCAATCTCGACTCACTGCAACCTCCACCCCCAGCTTCAAATGATTCTCCTACCTCAGTCTCCTGAGTAGTAGGGATTACAGACTTGTACCACCACACAGCTGGCCCACTGACTGGCATTTGGGAATTGCAATTTTGCCTCTAATTGTAGGACAAGAAAGTGAGAAGAGTTACAATCATATTCAGCTCAAGTAATGGAGCAGATAGATGTAAGGTCCGTCTGAAAGACTGAAATTATAAAATCACAAAATATTTTTAAAGCAAGGCAATTGTATTATTTCCAACTGCTTATAGTAACTACCAATGAAAGCAAAATATTGATGGGTAGGGGTCTATATAATGATGTTTCACAAAGGAAAATTTATAAGTTTTTGTAATTTACATTTATAAGTGAATGTTTCTTCTTTATAAATTTGCTTCCTTGAGTAGATTAAATATTACCCTTTTACTCTTCTTTAAACTTAGTTTAGTTTTTTCAATCCTTTTATTGTCATGAAGTCAAACATAAACTTTAATTCAGCCCATGAACAAAGGATCATAAATACATAGACATCTACTTCAGCAAACTAAATGTAGAAAGAAGCACATATAAAGACAAGGTTTTTTTTTTTAGCTGCTACTTACCAATTAAGCCAGCAATTAAAGATTATCATTTGATCTTCAGAAAAAGAACTGTGAGGTCACTATTGTTTGCTGACCAACTACAGAAGTAAAACCTCCCAATGGCTGTTCAACTGTGAGAACACACGAACACAGGGATGGGAACATCACATATTCAGGCCTGGAGTTGGGGGGCTAGGGGAGGAATAGCAGGAGGTGGAGGACTGGGGAGGGATATCATTAGGAGAAATACCTAATGTGGATGACGGGGCTGTGGATGCAGCAAACCAGCACCATGGCACGTGTATACCTATGTAACAAACCTGCACAATCTGCACATGTACCCCCGAACTTAAAGTATAATAATAATGATTCTAAACAACAACAACAACAACAAAACTCCCAAAGGCAAGTTTTGCCCTGGCCTTAAGATTACTGTAGGGCCTCAGACATCAGAACTAGTTCTTCTCATCACTCAAAATTCCCTTAAAATTGACCTGACAAAGGAGCCAACCACATTTTAAAGCCAAATTGTTGGGTCTTTTAAAAACAAACATTGTTGACTGTAGTATAACAGTCTTAGTTTAACTGATTCAAAACTACGGCTAGCTTAGTAAATTTAACTCTAGTGGCTGATAGTAATAGAAAAGAGATAAATATTCTTAAGCATGTATTTTGAGCCAGGCATTCTGCTAAGTACTTTATTCATGCTCATTAAAGCCTTGAAACAACTGGTTCATGTTTAAGTTATTAAGGCGCCCCATTTTACAGACAAAAATGAGGAAACTGATCTATGTAACTTGCTTATGGTCACAAAGCCATTAAAGGTGGCAGAATTAGGACATCAACCCAGTCGGTCTGACTCCAGAACCCTCCTATTTATTTCTACTCTATACTACTCATAAAATTATTTGGTCTTGAGGCCAGGTGCAGTGGCTCATGCCAGTAATCCCAGGACTTTGAGGGGTCAAGGTGGGTAGATCCTTGAGCTCAGAAGTTTTAGACCTGCCTGAGCAACATGGTGAGACCTCATCTCTACAAAAAAATACTAAAAATTAGCTAGGTCTAGTGACACACAGCTGTAGTCCCAGCTACTTGGGAGGTTGAGGTGGGAAGATCACTCGAGCTCAGGAAGTTGAACCTGCCATGAGGCATAATCATACCACTGCATTCCAGCCTGGGTCACAGAGTGAGACCCTATCTCAAACAAACAAACAAAAACTATTTGGTCTTGAGAAAAAAATATTTTTTTTTGCTTCATATTTCCCATTTTGAAAACTTGATTAAGAAACTCATTGTCTTGCCAATGACATTACATTCAATTATGCTAAAACATCCAGAAATAGCTTACACATCAGTCTGACTTTAGTATTATGCAATTTGAAGCCTGTGTTTGAAAATAAAAATACCGTACCATGATTTGTTTATCCAGAATTCAGATCATTACATCCTTGTATATGAGACAGAAACCCTTTTGTATTCTAGTGCAACCCTCTCTTTGGATCTTAATATGCATAGTTAACAATAACACCATACTAAATTCTACCTAGAAAGCTAGCATACCTTAAACTGATTAGCTTTTATCAAGCCACTTGAAATTATAACAAAGTTACCATTTAAACCTTGATTCTGACTAGGCTCAGTGACTCATGTCTGTAATCTCAGCACTTTGGGAGGCTGAGGCGAACCAATTGCTTGAGTCCAGAAGTTCAAGACCAGCCTGGGCAACATGGCAAAACCCCATCTCTACTAAAAATACAAAAAAAAAAGTAGGGTGTGGTGGTATATACCTACGCCCAGGAGGTTGAGACTGCAGTGAGCTGAGATTGTGCCCTTGCACTCCAGCTTGGGCAACTGGAGTGAGACCACGTCTCAAAAAAAAAAAAAATATATTGATTCTAGAGCAGCATAAACACACTACTCATGGAAAATGTACTATAGTAGGCATGGGTAAACAAAACAATAAATGAATAAATGGAAAAATAGAGGGGCCAGACATAGTGCCTCGTGCCTATGATCCCAGCACTTTGGGAGGCTGAGGGAGGTGGATCACTCGAGGTCAAGAGTTAGAGACCAGCCTGGCCAAAATGGTGAAACCCCGTCTCTACCAAAAATACAAAAGTGAACCCAGCAGGGTGGTGTATGCCTGTAGTCCCAGCTACTCAGGAGGCCGAGGCAAGTTTAAGATTTGATTGTATCAGTGTTACTTACCTTTATCACTTAACAAAGGTTGATTTGTGTAAAGGGATTCAAATCAAAATGTACAAACTCCCTTCCTCCAAAAGTACTCATTTTATAATACTGAAATTCTCTATTGTATTCTCTGCCCAGTGTCCCAAGGTTTATTGGTTTCTAAAGAGGCAGAGGGTGTGTGCAGCCTCCCCAAAGGGAATTAAGGAAGTAAGCCAGTTGTCACAAATTCTGGCATTAAATACGTAGGGACCTAGGATGCTAATATTTTGCAATGTACCAAAATAATTGTCCCTGCCCCCAACCTCACCATTGCCAATATCACCCCCAACCCTTGCAGTGAGCATCACAAACAGGCAACAGATACCACCACAGAATGATGGAACACGTAGACTACACTCATCACCTAAATGTTGTTGTCACACCACACAACAAAAGACAATCGCATCACCCAGGGGTTAGATGTCGGAAGAATAGAAAACCAAAACAATCTTTTGAATGAGTAATTATCACTAATTATTTTATTTGATCCTTTAGGAGAATGTGGAAGATGGCCGAGCAAGTATCTATCAATCTGTCATTACCAACACCAGCAAAGAAATGTCCTGTTTCAGTGACTTTCCAATGCCTGAAGATTTTCCAAACTTCCTGCATAATTCTAAACTTCTGGAATATTTCAGGATGTTTGCCACAAAATTTGATCTGTTAAAATATATTCAGTTCCAGGTATTGTATTTTTGGGGAAATGGGTTCCTCTACATTAGTTTAGCTCATATTTAAATAGAAAAGTTACTCTGATAATGAAAGCAATTATGAATAAAGTATCCCATTCTAAGTGTTTGTTGAAATATAAATGCCTGATATAAAACCCAAAAAGTAGTATTATTACTCTTATTATAGATTATATACATTAACTGAAGAGGAAAATCATCTGTTAAAATTAAAGGTTTGAATAATGATATTGATGCCAAAACTTTTTTTTTTTCTTTTCCAAGACAGAGTCTCGCTCTGTTGCCAAGGCTGGAGTGTGGTGGCATGATCTTGGCTCACTGCAACCTCTGCCTCCTTGGCTCAAGCAATTCTCCTCCCTCTCCGGCCTCCTGAGTAGCTGGCACTACAGGCACACACTACCATGTCGGGTTCATTTTTGTACTTTTGGTAGAGACAGGGTTTCACCATTTTGGCCAGGCTGGTCTAGAACTCCTGACCTCAAGTGATCCACCCAACTTGGCCTCTCAAAGTGCTGGGATTACAAGTGTGAGCCACCGCACTCAGCCCCAAAGCTTCATTTAAACTAACATCTGTTACCATTAAATATGCCTGTCTTTGAAAAGGTATATATCAAAGTTAAATAGCTGTTTTGTTTTCTTAACTTCTCCATAGAAATGGGATTTCTTAGACATGACTAAATAAACCCCCTGCTCTGTTCATACCAGAAGGCTATGGAAAGTATTTTTGCTTATAATTTTTTCCTGAATGCAATCTGTAGCAACCTCAAGATGGCCAGATCATTTTGAAATACACTTGGAATTACCTTTTCCTGTGCTTCCTCAAAAACAAACAAACAAAAATAATATTTTCATTAAGCATGTTGAATTTTCATCAATAGTCTATACTTTGAGAAATAGTTACTGTGCTTAGAAAATAAAATATAAATCACATTTCTAGGCCAGGTGTGGTGATTCATGTTTGTAATCCCAGCACTTTGGGAGGCTGAGGCAGGAGAATCACTTGAACCCAGGAGTTTGAGACCAACCTGGGCAATACAGTGAAAATCTGTCTGTACAAAAAATTTTTAAAAGATTAACCAAGCATGTTGACACACACCTGTAGTCCCAGCTACTCAAGAGGCTGAGGAGGGAGGATCACTTGAGCCTGGGGGTCAAGACTACAGTAACTGGTGATTGTGCCACTGCACTCCAGCCTAGGCAACAGTGGGAGACCCTGTCTCAAAATAAATAAATAACGCTTCTGGTTAAGTAACTGTTAGTGAGGCTTATTTTTAATATATCTCATTTTATTAGTAATTCTAATACTAGGCTTATATAATATTAACTTATAATGGCAAATTTTCCTGAAAATTTGTATTTATAAATGCCATTAAGATGTGCAGTTCTACCTAATGTAGTTTTTCTCCAATTCCTAGTATATCTAACTTGTGAATAACAGATTCTTTATACCAGAAGATTTTGTAGCTTTGTGCACTTAGCTATCAAACCATTTAACAAATATATTGCCCTCTTATGATATATAACTTATATTCCACTCTTTTAAAGATCATGTTAGAGTTGCAACGGAGTCATTTCTCTTCGTTATTGTATTACTGCTACTCCTGTTTCTTGGAGAGAGAAGAGGGATTGGGAAGACTCATTTCTGTTTACTGGTCTCTGAGTTCGTGTAAGTCATAGGTACTAGGGTTCAACTCGAGAAGCAGGCAAACTGTAACAAGCCCTGTTATTTATGATTGTCAATGTAATCTACATCAGTCTTCTCAAACTTTAATATGCACATGAATCACCTGGAGATCTTGTTAAAAATGTAGGTTCTGATTTAATGGGTATGGGGTAAGGTCTGAAATTCTGCATTTCTGACAAGGTCCCAGGTGATACTAAAGATCCAGGTCCTCAAATCACATTTTGAATAGCAGGAATCTACAGCAATTCAGTTAATACACGACTGTGAACTACAATCTGAAATCTTTTCTCTCAGCTGAAAATTGCCCAGATATTTAAAGCCCTCCCACAAGATTTCTACTAATATTCCATATACATTTTTAAAATAAGACAGCTTTAAAAATTACCAATCCAGCATTTTGAAAAATATCTGAAAATTTGAAATATATAAAAGACTAAAATACTCGAAAAGGAGAAGCATGCCATTCTTCTACATGATAAACTTTGCTTCCACTTGACATTGTTTCTTAATCCAGCATTTATGTACAATTTAGAAATTAACAGACCTCTACTGAGCTACATTTAATAAAAAAAAAAAAAAAAAATCAATGAGCCAATAAATTATTTCATTTAAATGAGATCATGAACTGCCCTGCTCATATGATGTACTCTGTTTTAAAAAGAATAAACATTAAAAACATTCGGTGGAATGTCAACCATGTGTCAGGCACTCTGCAAAGTGCTTTATGTGAAATATCCTCTCTCATACAAAGTCCACACAGAGGTGGCTACACAAAAGCTTCCTGGCATATGCTAATTTCATGATCAATTGAATTATTGGTTTGTTTCCTTGTTCATACTATCAACCTAAATAGCAAACAGAGAGAGGCTCTTCACAAGATATTTGGTAATAGAGCATTGAAATGAGAATGTGCATGCCATGGTAAGCTACGTGTGTATTCAGGGAGTTAAAGGAAGACAAAGGTTTTTAAAGGGCAAAAAAATACAATTACATAATTGTTTTGAAATAATTATATAAATAATATAAAAAGCAATAACAAAGATGATGCCAGTCCGAGACCGGACAGTTACTGGGCAGATGTTCCTGTAGAAGTTGTTTTTATGTAAGATTATGATGGTCTTTGTGCAAGGTTTTTGTAGCCTTTTTTGTTATCAGCCACATACCATGAGAACCCTCTTTCTGGCCTTTCCCACTTCTGTTTTTCGGGTTTCTTAACATTAGCGACTCCATCTGGATTCTGACAGCTTTCACAAGAACTTGTTTTTCTTTTCTCTCTGAAGTCCTTACTCAGTATTCAACACCCTTAACAGACTGGTCCCAATGCTGAGTTGGGCCTCTTGCACGAAGCGCCAATGAGAAGGACACACTTGGCCCATGTTATCCTGGAGTAATTCTCAATGATGTCTTCTCTGTGTTTCTTCAAGACAACTGTCCTTAGTGTGAGAAAATGTCCAGATTTCTCATCCTCTGGCCAATGGAAGGTTGTCACTCAGAGCAATGGCAAGGAGCAGAGTGCTGTCTTTGATGCAGTTATGGTTTGCAGTGGCCACCATGTTCTACCTCATATCCCACTGAAGTCATTTCCAGGTGAGACCCACTGAGATTCCCTGCTTTTTGGAATAGGTTTCCAGGTACTTTATATGTAGTTTGAATTGACAGACAGGATTCATTGCTGCAACTGGGCATAACTGGGCTCAAGAAGATTGAGATAGAGCTAGAAAGATGACAGACACCAAACACCAAACACCATCTTTGTTTCTATTGACCCGAGTTTCATCACACATAGCTCTCAGAGCTAATTTCCTTGGAAGTCACTAAGTGCTCGGCAGAATTTTAGAGAATTCACATCAAACTGGTTCTCTGTTAGAGAGGCCCTTTTAGCCACGTGCCTACATTGGCCTTTTTCTATCCTGCCAAACACTGAGCCTTTTCCAAAGGTCCAAGCTCGCCGACAAGGAGAGAGCTCCTAGAAAGAAATGCTTCTGCAAGTTAGTGATAGACAGAAGTGCAGGAATAGAACCTTGCATCCACCTGTCCTGGTCCACCCAAGTCTTTTCTCAGAGAACACACTTCCTTCCTCAGGAAAACATCTAATGTAGTGGTTCATAGTCCAGGCCTCACATTAGAATCACCTGGGGAGCTTCTAAAGCCCTGATGCCTGGGGACCTACCCCCAAAGATTCAAACACTAGGGAGTAGGGTTAGGTCAATGAAAGTTTGCTCAAGTGATTTTAATATATATTCAGGATTAAGACCAGCTCATCTAAAGCAACTGTTCCCAAATAGAATCACCTGGAGGGCTCTTCCAAGCACAGATTGCTAGGCCCCACCCTCCTTATTTCTGATTCAATAGGTGCTATGGCTTGAATGTCCTGTCCAAAACTCCTGTTGAGATTAATCTCCAATGGGGCAGTATGAAGAGGTGAGACCTTTAAGAGGTGACTGAGTCATAAGGGCTCTGCCCTCATGAATGGATTAACCTATTTGTGGATTAATGAGTTGGGTTACTGAGTTATCACAGGAGTGGAATTGGTGGCTTTATAAGAAAAGGATAGAGACCTGAGTTAACATGTTAGCGTGAGTGCCTCCCTCACCATGCCATACCCTGTACTGCCCTGGGACTCTTCAGAGAGTCCACACCAGCAAGAAGGCTCTCAGCAGATACAGCCCCTTAACCTTGACTTCTCAGCCACTACAACTGTGCACCAAAATAACTTCCTTCCCCAAAAAGATATTCAGTTTCAGATATTTTGTTAAAAGCAATAGAAGACAATCTAAGACGGTAGTCTGGCATGAGGCTGAAAATGTGCATTTCTAACACCAGGCGATGCAGATGCCGGCCATGTGACCACACTTTGAGAACCAATAATCTAAAGATTTTTTCAAGCAACCCCACCATCAATGGCAAATACTTTATAAAGTCATGTGTTTTCGAGAAGTGTAAAAGTAGTAACTAGGAAAGGACACAGAGAAGCTTGTCTGTGATTAACCACCAGCAAATCACTGACTTAGTACAACACGGAAACCAACTCCTATGTGCCTCGTTTTGTCCTAGTTTTTGTTTACTTTTGGAAAATAAGATTGCTTAATAGTATTCTATTACACAATTACAATAATAGCACTTCATAATGTGCTTAAGAAATATTTAAGAGTATCTGATAAGTGATTTTTTTTTTTTTTTTTTGAAACAATCTGTCACCCAGGCTGGAGTGCAATGGCACAATCTCAGCTCACCGCAGCCTCCTGACCTCAGTTGACCCGCCTGCCTCGGCCTACCAAAGTGCTGGGATTACAGGTGTAAGCCATCATGCCCAGCCCAATGTGGATGTTACAGTGTCATTATATAATCCAATATAGTATAATGGGTAGCTAGAAGCCAGTATTTTGTCCTGCTGTATTCATCACCATTTGTTTGTCTCTGATAGATAAAAGCTACAAGCTGCAGCCTCTGAAATTAAAATCAACCCCTTTGGTCCTGTTTTTTCTTTTTTCTTTTTTTTGGTGTGGAGAGAGTCTTACTCTGTCACCCAGACTAGAATGTAGTGACACAGTCAGGGCTCGCTGCATTCTTTACTTCCCAAGCTCAAGCAATCTTCCCACCTCAACCACCTAAGTAGCTGAGACCACAGGCATGTGCCACCATGCCCAGGTAATTTTTGTATTTTTTGTAGAGACAGGGTTTCTCTCTGCTATTCAGGCTGGTCTCAAACTCCTGGGCTCAATCAACCCACCTAGGCCTCCCAAAGTGCTGGGATTACAGGCCCCCACATGTGCTTTACTCCTATAGAGAAGAGGCAAAACAAATGGACTCCAGAAAGGAAAAGCTGGCAATGAAATTTTAGTGAAATTAGCTTGACATAGTTGCTGGGGAGTTCACAGACCTCTCTTCTTCCCCCTGAAGGTATTGAGAGATTCAAAGGCCAATATTTCCATAGCCGCCAATACAAACATCCAGACGGATTTGAGGGGAAACGCATCCTGGTGATTGGAACAGGAAACTCGGGCTCAGATATTGCTGTTGAGCTGAGTAAGAAGTCTGCTCAGGTGCGATGCTCTCTGCTTACCATGTACCTGGAGGGGAGACTGTGGGAGTGCCATACTGGAGAACCCCAGCCACATAATCACGGCTCCAATCCTCATTAACTAGTTGGTTGGTGACCCATTGTGGCATCATAGAAAATCCCGAAGTCAAGAAACCAGTTTATCTCCTAGCTCTGTCACTAACCAGCCATGTATCCTAGAGTAATTCATTTCACTTCTCTGGGTGATGGTTCCCTCATTTTTGAAGTGGGAAGTTTTGACCAGATGATTTTCCATACAAGAGGCCTTTATTACTGAGTACATTGGCGTGAACACGACTTACTGCATGCAGCCTCGACCTCCTGGGTTCCAGCGATCCTCTCAACTCAGCCTCCTGAGTAGCTGGGACTACAGGCACATGCCACACCACACCCAGCTAATTTTTGTGTTTTTTTGTAGCAGTGGGGTCTCACCAAGTTGCCCAGGCTGGTCTCAAACTCTTAAACTCAAGCAATCTCCCTGCCTCAGCCTCCCAAAGTGCTAGGATTACAGGCATGCACCACCACCACTACACCCAGCTAAGAGGCCTGGTTTCTCCCTGGGTGCTTAATGAGAAGTTCATCTGTTCATATTCTGGAGGGTGGCTTTTAGAAATTTAGTGCGTATTTGAATTATATTTGAAACATAGAGAATTCTCAGTTACCCAAATATTATGAAAAGAAAGATTAAATAGATAGTAGCTCTCCCAACTAAAATCACAGATATTTAGGTGCTTCCCGAGGCCTTCTAACCACAGTCATCTTGCACCTGCTCAGGAATGACACCAGCTGAGCTGCCAAAGAGTCAAACATTACACGATGCTGCTGCTGACAGTGGCAGTCAGGAATAGAAAAAAATAAACTTCTGCAAGGACAGACCTAGGCTAAGAAGGGAAAATGGCTAAAGGTCCTCTCCCAAAACATCCCCCCACCACCACCAACAAGGTCTGAAACAGATGCCCAATCACTCTTACACTAGCTCTTTCAGCCTGATATCTCTGGCCACTCAGGGCTTACCATGGCCATGTGCACAACCAGCAAATCTTTTCCATCCCAAGTCTTACACTTTCAGGACTCTAGATACCCAGTAGCAAAAGTGATAAGCAAACATGACACCTGCCCACCAGGTTAATGAAGGGGTTACATTGGGCCCCGTCAGAGTCATCTATCAGTCAGTGTTAGTCAGTGCCAGCCTAAGAACAGAGCAGAACAGAAAGATTTACTAGACTCAATCAGTCTTCACTTTTTGTGAAAATAAACCCCTTTCATTTATCACCTCAATGTGAAGAACAAGTGAGGAGGCAGGAACTGTGATAGCTTGGAGCAGAGCAGAGCCAGAAAGTGAGAGTACCAGGCTCTAGCGAGACTCTGTCTCAGCACCAGGTGTTCATGCTGGGAACTCCTGCAAAGCCTTAGGAACAGTGTGTAGTGGGGCAATACGTGAGGAGCTGATGTAGCAGTCAGCCAAGTGAAGATCCATCCTAGACTCCTACATGTTGTCAGACCAGTGATATTGACTTAGAACTTACATCTCTTCATTCCAAAGATATCAAATCTTAGATTGCAAGAATCAGTCCCCTGTATAGGTCTTGTCCTACAGAAAGCCTTACGGTGTCAGATTCAATATTAAGAAACTACCTTGGCTCTATTTGCATGCCTTATAGCTCCTTAAACAATCTTTTGCACCAAATGCAAAAGACTTTGTTGCAGTCTTCCTCTATTAGTGTAAATGCCACCAGGTGCCCCGTTTTTAGGAGGTACTTCACTTTGAAGTCAATCATCTTTAAAACAGAGCCTTAGTAGTTCTGGGGGTATGTATGTGATACATCACCTACATAGCAGATTCCTCCTAAATGTAATGTTATAATCATATGTTTCCAAGGATTATAATCTTTCACCTGCACTAATCTCTTCAATATTTATTAGAGCAACAACATAAATCTATAACTATGATAAAAACCTTTTACACAGAGTAATGTACTATCAAGCCTTCTGTGGAAAGGCTTACCAAAGACTTTACAGGAGATATATATGCTAGAAATTGAACTAGGTGCATTTGTAAAACTTGAAATTACAACCTGAACTCACCAAAATTCTGAGCGTACACTGCACTGTCAAAAGAAATTCACCTTCATAAGGATACAGCACCCTCTACCACAGTCCAGAAGCACCACTTGAGATCATATTGGATGGTGCTGCATATTGTATTAGTCCATTCTCAAGCTGCTACGAAGAAATACCCAGGACTGAGTAATTTATAAAGAAAAGAGGTTTAATTGACTCACAGTTTGTCATGGCTGGGGAAGCCTCAGGAAACTAACAATCGTGGCGGAAGACACCTCCTTACTAGGGTGGCAGGAGAGAGAATGAGAGCGAAGGGGAAACCCCTTATAAATCCATCAGACCTCGTGAGAACTTACTCACGAGAACAGCATGGTGGAAACCTCACCTGTGATTGAATTGTCTCCACCTGGTCCCGCTCTTGACACGTGGGGGGATTATTACAATTCAGGGTGAGATGTGGGTGAAGACACAGAACCAAACCATATCAGTCATTTACATACTTCTGACCAAAAAACAAATCTCTGGCCTTTGACCTAAAGCATATGCCTCAGAGAAAGCAGCCTGAACCTAAATCCTCATGTTTCTCTCACTGTTGTACCTAGCGTGAATAGGCAGTTTACATACCCCTGCAATAGGGACGGTCACAACAGAAAGAAAATTAAACATGCCGAGCATTTCATTTGAAACATGGTTTCATCTTGAGGAAGAGGCGGGGACAGTAAGTAACAGAAAGAGACACTAATGGAAATATTTTAGTATCTAATATATAATCAAAATATTGCCAAGTCAGCCTAAAAGCAACAGTAAGAGAAATTCAAAACATAGGTATATACCACACACAGACCAGCAATACAGGAATGCTTGGTGCAGGTGCTACCTCACAAGCTAAAAATTTAAGGCCATCCCCACAAAATTTGTCTCCAAATTCTGATTCACTCCAGATATGAGGCACTGTGTGAAACCCCTCTCTTCCAGCCTAAGTTTACAAAATAACAGCTAGAAGTACTTATCACTTGCCAGGCAATATTTAAAGTACTTTATATGTACCACCTCATTTAATCTAGACAAAAATGCCATGAGATAGGTACTGTTAATATCCCCATATTACAGAAAGAGAAACTGAGGCACGGAGAGATTGAAATAATTCACCCATGGCAACATAGCTTGAAATAATTCCCCCCACAGTAGTGGGATTGGTATTCAAACCCAATCAGTCTGTATTAAAATCTCTTAAGTAAATTGGTTTCCTTACAGGTGAATCTTATGTGCTTATCAAGTACAGCCTTAAACAAAAGCTCACTGGATGGTATGTAAAAATTTAAGAAGCAGTTCAAATATGCATTGGACAATGAGGAGTAACAGTAAGCACAGCAAAATACACATTTGAAAAGAGATTAAATGTACATTTTGGAAACAAGGGAAATCTTAGTAAACAAGGTAAACAATACCTCTGAAAGGGGATTCAGATGTGCGCTTTAAGAGAAAGAGAATCACAGTACAAATTCAGAGCTTTCAACTTTTAAAATATATAACAGGCTCTGTGGCTCATGCCTATAATCCCAGCACTTTGCAAGGCTGAGGCGGGAGGATTGCTTAAGCCCAGAAATTCGAGACTGACCTGGGCAACACAGTGAGACCCTGTCTCTACAAAAACATTGTTTAAATTAGCCAGACGTGGTGGTACCTGTTTGAGGCTGAGGTGGGGGGATCACTTGAACCTTGGAGGTCGAGACTGCAATGAGCCATAACTGCACAGCAGTCCAGCCTGAGTGACAGAGCAAGACCCTGTCTCTCTCTCTCTCTGTCTCTCTCTCTCTCTCTCTCTCTCTCACACACACACACACACACACACACACACAAATAATAAAGGTCTCTTAAGTATGGAAGAAAGATTATTTCCCTTGTTATTCTCCATCCAGGTATATTCAGATGCAAACATTTATACTTGTGTAGTCACTAGGCTATAATTGTACATTTCTAAAGATTATCGTTCTACCTGCACTATAGAAGAAACAGGTGGGTGGAAAACATGAGAGGAGGGAGGAAGGAACATTCTCTTAAGGAGCAAATCACAACTGTAAACATGGGAAAGACTTGTGGATTTTATCATCAGAATGAGCCCAAAGACTTTCTCATGTCTCCACGAAGTTCTCAAGACTTCGTTGCAGTCTTCCTCTATCAGTGTAAATGCCACTGGGTACCCCTATTCAGGAGCTACTTTACGTTTGAGGTCAATCACCTTTAAAACAGAACCTCTGTAAATTCTGGGGCTACATATGTGATACATTACCTTCATAGTAGATTCCTCCTAAATGGGACAATGCCCTAATTTAAACTGCATTTCTTTTTGCTTTCCAGGTTTTTATCAGCACCAGGCATGGCACCTGGGTCATGAGCCGTATCTCTGAAGATGGCTATCCTTGGGACTCGGTGTTCCACACCCGGTTTCGTTCAATGCTCCGCAATGTACTTCCACGAACAGTTGTAAAATGGATGATAGAACAACAGATGAATCGGTGGTTCAACCATGAAAATTACGGCCTTGAGCCTCAAAACAAGTAGAGTTATTTTGCTTTTTTTAATGACATACTTGGTGAGCAAGGTTGCCTGAAGGTGCCTCCCTTAACAAAGATCCAAATTGCCAATACAGTAGTTCAAACTACAACCCAACAGTATGAGAACCTTATGGGTCCTGGAGTTTGGATTCCAAATTTGTTCTGTATACCTTTAAAAATTACTTAAGAAGATGAAGCAGAACTGTTATAAGCTGCTCCAGAAAGCAAAACTAGGGAAAAACTTTCTAATGCCCAGAGTTATCTAACATTGGAGAAGACTGCTTCAAGAGACTATGACCTCCTTTCAGAGGGGTGCAGAGGGAAACATGTAATTCTCCATCTAATAATTTATGCTTTGCTAACCCTATACCATGAAGGTTCTTCCCTTGGGCAACCTTTGAAAACACATTCCTTTTTCTTTGCTAAAAGACAAATATCTGTTGAGTTCAAAGTTATATGTCAGTGATTTAAGCACAAGCAAATGTTATGAATGCTTCTTTTGCTTTAGTTGTTACAGGCTTCTTCCCTTAAAAAACAAAAGAGCTTTAGAATCTTTTAACAAATGCCTGCCATGTAACTACCATATTCTAAGATCTGACATAAGTGCCATGTGTTGTCTATTAAAAAAAGAAAAAGAAAATGTTCTCAAATCTAAAAATATATATATGTAAGTGGACTTTGCATCAACATCCATGCTCTTTCTAACAGGACTCCATAGATATTTGGGATTGACAAATATCACCAAACCTAATTTTGTACATTAATTTTCACATTGATCCCTTCAAAGATTTCAGAACTAGTGGAAATTTAGCAAATTTTTTCTTACTTATGATCAAATAAGGGTTAAATAAAACAGCAAAATAATAAAAGCTAGATAGCATGAAAAAGGTTAGAAACAGAAATGGTATAGTAACCACCATAATACTCTGGGATTGACCATTGGCACAGGCATTTTGTCTCAGCTCTTGGGGAGACTTCCATCTTTAAAATCTCTTTCACTCACATTGCCTCCATGTTTCCCTTATTTGTTGAAGGGAGATATTTGTGACATTTAAGTCAGAAAATAAGGATTGGCACAGACAACCAATTTAGAGTTTTACAGATATTTTAAAAGCCCTTTTACGTTCAGAGCCATAACACAAAAATGTCAAGAGGGTTCAAGATTCCTCAGCAAATGATCCTTCTGTATGTTTTTCTTCTGTATGCCTCAGATACGTTCTGAAGGAACCTGTACTAAATGATGATCTCCCAAGTCGTCTACTCCATGGAGCCATCAAGGTGAAATCTACAGTGAAAGAGCTCATGGAAACTTCTGCCATCTTTGATGATGGAACAGTGGAGGAGAACATTGATGTCATTGTTTTTGCAACGGGATATACTTTCTCTTTTCCCTTCCCTGAAGATTCACTTGTTAAAGTAGAAAATAATATGGTCTCACTGTATAAATACATATTCCCCGCTCACCTGGAGAAGTCAACCCTTGCATGCATTGGTCTCATCCAGCCCCTAGGTTCCATTTTCCCAACTGCTGAACTTCAAGCTCGTTGGGTGACACGAGTTTTCAAAGGTAAGTGTGTGGGCAGGTGAGTGGCTAAGGGTTTCAGATCTGTTGAAGTTTGCTCAATAATGATAAGAAGGTTACCTGGGATAAGAAGGTTGCCAAGAAAACATTTGACAACCTTGGCTGCTCCCACAAGATTAACATTCTAAAAAGTTAGTGGAGAATTCAAAGAATAACAAATACAGGAATTTAGTAATAATAAATATCTGCAATCATCCCTTTAAAATATTAGACAGTCAAGAGAATTTCAACTAGCATAAAGCTAAGTACATATTAACTTTTCTTTGAATCATGAGAGGTAAGTTTAAGAAAAACATCTATGTCTCCTGGTTTTACCTATGTGGTGTTTAAAAATTCCTCAGCATATGTGCAAATCAATTTAACTCCTAATACCTGAGCAGCTCAACCTCACAAATCCCTACAAGTTATAAAATTATTGAAAAGTTTCTTTCTGAGTGTCTGTGTAGCACTTCATACTCCTCAGAAGGGTGTTATTTCCCTGCCTCCAGGGTTCAATTCTGTTCAGCAAAAGTTTACTCAGTACTTAGGCCTGTGCTGGGAACTGGTGGGACAGAGAGAAATTTAAACAGATCATTTCAACATACTATGACACATGCTTTGATTAATATACAGAGCACTCAGGGAAGGAGAGAAAAGGCACTTATCACAGTAGAACAAGGGGAGGGCACATGATAAAGGAAAACTTCCTGGATAACTGCATTTTCTCAGGGGCAGAAAAGGGGATTGCCTGAACAAAAGCATAGAGGCAATGATGCATATGGAAAGGCACATGTTATTTTACATTCCTACAGCATGACCTATGCGACAGAGATTGATGAGAGATTACTCTTGGAGAAGAAGGAGACGGGACACAGGAATTCTTAAGACATGCTATGGAGCTTACGTTATAAAATATAGATCCATTCTTCCCAAATATGGCTACACATGAAAGTCATCTGATGAATCCTTAGGGACCCTGATTAAGTAAGACTGGCTGGAGAATCTGGAATCTGATTTTAGAAAACTCTTCAGCCAGGAGCACCAATGAAGCAAAAAATAGGCATTAGCAGATTTACACTTTAGATAGATTGTTTCAGCAGTAGTGTGGAATACAGAGTTGAAAGTGGGGAAAGACTACAGCCTCGAGGATGAAAGAGAAGCCTACATTTACCTATGCTAAAATATGATGCATATTGGGCCAGGGCAGAGATACAAAGTGGAAAGGAAGCCATAAATACGAGAAATCATTAAGGAAAAATCAGCAGGATGTCATGATTGGTTCAATCTGGGAAAGTCAGAGAAATCGAGAGGAAGCAAGGAGGACTTACAGATCTCTGGCACTGGAAACTGGGTGGACAGTGGTGCTGTGAATAAAGAGGGGGTGTGCAGAAGATGATGCAAGTCTGGACAAAAGGGCTTCAGTGAGGAGCTCAGGTTTAGACTACTTAAATATGAGATGTCTGATGACTCTAAGTAAGGGGACTCGACCACATTTCAACACATTCAAAGCTCAGGGTACACTTGCGGGCAGGCAACGGAGTCATGAGCACACAATAATAACTCTTGCATCAATCTTTCTTTATCTCTACTGCCCTACTCTCATCTCTCAGCAGGTTTATGTCAACGGCCTCTTTACTGGTCTCCCCAAGTTTGGTCTTGCATCCCTGGAGTCCATTTTCCTAAATTCAGTAGCCAGACAGATCGTTCCAAAACATAAGTCTGGTCTTTTCATCTCATGCAGAAAATTCCTCCACAGCCTCCTGTCACCTTGAGGATAGAGCCAAACCACTAGACATGGCTGCCAGGCTCCCAGACACACTCCCCTTTTCCAGCCTCTTCTTTTGGCCCTCTCCATCTCATAGTCCCGCTGTAGACTGTGCTCCCTGGACAGTGTCACATAGAGTGCTATGGGAGTGGCACCCCCTGAAGTTCAACAGCACAGAAGCCCTGACTGGCATGACAGGGTTCAATGGCCAGAGTTTAATCTTAAGTTATTAACAACTAGATAAAGTAATGATATTGACTCAAACTTACTATTCAAACCAACCTTTTATTCCTTAGGTTTGTGTAGCCTGCCCTCAGAAAGAACTATGGTGATGGACATGATCAAAAGGAATGAAAAAAGAATTGACCTGTAAGAATTTTTTTTAATTCTTTACATGGAGCAGTGTTTCTCGAAGTACAGTGATCTAACTACTTACAAGAACCACCTAGCTGCCTGATAAAATGCACATTTCTGAGCTATAGCCCAGAGGATTAAATCAGAGGCTAAAAATGTGCGTTTTTATCTTCTTCCTAGGCGATTCTTATACATACTAGGTTAAGAGCCAAATACTTAAAGATAAGAATTGTACCAAATAAGAGCATTTCTCCTTGGCTTAATTTCATTCCAGTTTTATATGATGGCCATGTCAGATTCCATAACTTCTCAAGCCACCTACACTCTGTGGTTAGAGAGGGAATGGGATGAGACAGTGGTGGTGATAGTAGCCTGAGTATCTATGAAAAGTTAGCCAGAGGATCCCCATCAAAATAAGTTAGGAAGGAGTTGGTGTGAAGGTTCAAGAATTTGTACTTTGCAATGAGGTGTAATGGGGTTCAACAGTGATTGAGCACCCTTGGAAAGTTGATTTGGGGCTTACATCGGGGTAAGAAATTATCTCATGTTCAAATTCAAATTTATCTAACATTTATTGAGTATCTACTATATGCCATCCAGACTGCCAGATACTTTAGTAATTTAACAAGCAAATATTAAGCCTCTCCTCTGAGCAAGACACCAAGCTATGCCTTCATATGCATTATCTCATGCATCCCTGCAGCCATCCTGACTCCTACGTTCTTGCCTGGAGATTTGCCACTGCTTAAAAAAATGCCAAGTAATGGTTATCAATCTTGTCACATTTCTAGAGCGTCCAAGAATCCATGGCTCTTTATTTGAGGGCCTATTCTCAATCTGGGATATGCACCTCCTGGTGCAATAAACTCATACTTCCCACCAGAGATTCATTCAAAACTCATTCATGTATTCACTCATTCCTTCATTCCTTCAGCAGTTTTGAATACCTAATATTCTAGATAACTTAGAACATTTTGTGAATATTCGCTTTTTACTTTCTTCACTAAGGTTTGGAAAAAGCCAGAGCCAGACGTTGCAGACTAATCATGTTGACTACTTGGACGAGCTCGCCTTAGAGATAGGTGCAAAGCCAGATTTCTGCTCTCTCTTGTTCAAAGATCCTAAACTGGCTGTGAGACTCTATTTCGGACCCTGTAACTCCTATCAGTATCGCCTGGTGGGGCCTGGGCAATGGGAAGGAGCCAGGAGTGCTATTTTCACCCAGAAACAAAGGATACTGAAGCCGCTAAAGACTCGGTCCCTCAAGAATTCATCTAATTTCCCAGTTTCCATTCTTTTGAAAATCCTGGGCCTTCTTGCTGTTGTGGTAGCCTTTTTTTGCCAACTTCAGTGGTCCTAGTCAGCGTAACGCTTTGGGATTTATTATCTTGTCAGTCACTACCTCTTAAAAAAAAGACTAAAAGAAAAAAATATTAAATTCATCTTCTAATTATAAATTTTAGAATTAGGTAGAACAAGTGAGGGGGGAATTGTAGAAAATTAGCAGAATTAGGTCTATGTACAAAACCAAAATTATGTCATGAAATTTCTTTGCCATTCCACGTTTCCCTCAGTTCATCAAAGTTGCCAAAAAGTAAAATAAAATAATACCGTCTCATGTAAATAGTGCTGCCAACCCTGATATAGGGGAGTTGTATGGAAAAATAGTAGATTTACACAGCATGAAAAGCAGCCTATGGTTTAAATTATTGGACAATTTAAATTGTGGGTAAATATTTAAAATTCCTGAACAATGTTTTTGATGGTCTTCTATCCGCTCTACCTGGTAACAACGTTCTCAAGATGTGAGAACGTTGTTACCAGGTAGAGCGGATAGAAGACCACCATGTTTCATTTGCTCAGTGGGAATCACTCAAAACTACTAGAGAAAAAGTGAGAGGATAGACTTAGGAAACATCAGCAATGCTCAGATGAACTTTTGGGAGCTCATATTAAGATGAGGCTCTTTCCATGAACTGTGCTTTAGAAGAGAAGCTCTGTTACGAGCCCAAACCAAGCACTTCAAAGAGAGAACAAAGGTCAGAGATGTTGAAGATTTCAGCACATTTCTCTTCTTATTTCTACCAAGCCTTTGTAAACATTGTTCTTCATTTTGGCCTGAATTTCTCCCTCAGGGATGTAGAACTATGGAATGTCAGTCTCTGTAGTTGAAACTTTTTCTTTAAAATCCAATTAAGTTGCACCAGGATTTACAGGCAAGATTTTTTTTTTCCATTGTTCCCATGAGCAAATTTAATTTAAAATAAGTGTAAATGAGGTATACACTTAGTTCTTAGTTTAAAAAAATGTATTGCTTTGGTAATTATTAAACATTATTTGTAAGCCATTGTATTAATAATACTAATAAAATTTATCATGTCTTTATAGCAAGGGTCAGTGAATTACTACTGCTTATGGGCCAAATCTAGCTTACCACCTGTTTTTGTAAATAAAATTTTATAATGGCACAGAGCCACACTCATTCATTTATTTTCTGTGGTTGCTTTCAAGCTATAATTGTAGAGCTGAGTAGTCACAGCAGAACCTGTGTGCCCCCCAAAGCTAAACTGTTTACATTCTCAACCATTACAGAAAAAGTTGGGCAATTCCTGCTTTATAAGATGCAAGGCATTGTCCTGTTTGGCATAACTTGCCTTATTTCATCATTATCACTACTCATTTAGTAGCTATGATTGTTATCCTACGTCTACAGTGGAAAAGATTAAAAAGCATTTGTTAGGTTGATGCTAAATCGATGCAGAAATACAGCTCCACTAGGAAAATATGATTAAGTGTATATTCCTAAAACATTTAGAAATCCCTTGAAATCTTTTCAAATATTCTGCTATCCTTGAAAAATGTAAGTAGTTTATTTCTAGAGAACCCTGCTAGTGGGGTCGCCCCACATTGGGCATCACATTGGGACCACCACCTGCTGGGGTCTGTCCCATAGACTTCAGCTACACAACAGATAAATAAATGCACTTAGACAAAGAATACAGTGAACAAGTGGGCTGAGGTGTCATGAGCCACTCACAGAAAGAGATCACAGCTACACGAAGCTCACTAGTTCACCCTCTCCCCATTTATTCAGTATAGATTTAATAACAGAGGCTTTAAGTCAACACATTTGTAGAGAAAGATTACAGGGCAGGTTCCAATGCCCAAAGCAAACATCATTAGTGGATAATATCCCTAGTCAACCACCCCCGAGAGGGCCATCTGGCTCAAAGGTTAATTCTAAGACTATATGAGAAACGAGTTGCAGTAGTTAGGTAAACTCCTCCAAATACCCTAGCTACTTGCTTTACTTATTAACTAAATGTAAGGGGGATTTAGGCTGCCTTCAAATGAAACTTCTACTGCAACTATGAAAAAACCCTTAGGCCTTCCAAAAGGGTTTGAGACTATATTCTATAAACTTTCTCCACTATTTTTCCCTTAACATTTTTGCCACCACCCTGAGTGAATTCCCATACCCTGCCTCTGAGGTTGACTCAAAAGTTAAGGAAGCCTCATCAGACTATCCTTCTGCCTCCATATATCCTGAACATCACACTACCCAGGAAAACTATCTAGAGTAGTTTGTTCCAAAATATTAGCCACAAACCACATATATCACAACTTAGGGAGCTTATAAAAGTAAAGATTCCTGAATATAAACAGTAATAACTCAGACCTGCTGAACAGAAATCTGTGATGAAATCTGCAGTTTTTGTACGATCCCCAGAAGATTCCTGTGTACATTAAATCTAGAAACCATTAGTTTGAGATCTCTCAAAAAAAAAAAAAAAAAAACCTGCTTTCAGAAAGTAGCCCACAAAATTCCCCATTCTTCAAGGACAAATTTATCCTTATGTTCAGCCTTGGTGTCACAGTTGCAGTTCACAATTTTTGTTCCTCTACTAAAAAGAATGTTAACTGGTTATCACCTTCAATAGTTTCAATGCATCACCCAAAGTTATGTGTTTAAAACTTACAACAGTATTGGGGGGTGGGGCCTAATGAGGTGATTAGGTGAAGTCTCTGCCCTCATGAAAAGATCAATCTCATTATCTCAGGAGTGTGTTTGGTTATAAAAGCAAGTTTGGCTCCCTCTTTTCCCCACACACTCTCTTTCCCTTCTGCCTCCACCTTTGCCATGGGAGGACACAGCAAGAAGTCCCTCATTAGATGGCAGTCGTTTGACCTTGAATTTCCTAGTCTCTATGACTAAGCCAAATAAATTTCTGTCTATTATAAATTACCCAGTCTCAGGTATTGTTACAGAAGCACAAAACGAACCAAGACACCACCCTTTTGCAAAATCTCCCCTTGTGATAGCTTCCTTTACTAACCTTTCATTTTAACTATTCTTTATATGATAGTAATTTTTTTCTATCAAAAGCTAAATATAACACACTTGTTCTTTACAGAAAGAAAGATATTTTAAATAAAATACTAGGACTATGGTATGTAAAAAAATTTGAAACAATAACTTTAAATAATACAGATTGAACATGCTTAACCCAGAAAGAATCCAGCATCCATGTTTTAATGAGGATAAAAAGAGAAACTTCTTTCTTATCATCAATCTTTCGTCCTGGAAGCTGCTGCTACTGACCTGCATCTTTGGCTGTTTCCAAGGAGGCAGAATGTGTTAACACTGAACAGGACTCACTTTCTTGTCCATTATGCCCTGTGACTAAATAGATTAATGAAGTTAAGAAAAAGGCTTCTAAGACTAGATTCTACTTAATCCAGATCAGATGTCAAAATGAGACTAAACATGCAAGCGTTTTATTAAGAAAAATACCCATATGAAGGAAAATAAGGAGAGAGTATGCTAAGGTTTGAGCATGTCCCCCAAAAGTCCATGAGTTGGAACCTTATGCTTGCTAAGATTTGGGTGCATGGTGCTTGGCTTTGGTTTGCTCCCTTGGTCTTACTTTCCCAAAAAGAAAACCTCCAAGTTTGGGGCATCCTATTTATTCCCATCACCTGGCAGGATTTGCAGGATAATTGCTCAGAACTAGAATATTGATTCGGATTTTTATGTTACCCATCCCTTTTGTTCTTTCTGAGCTGCAGCCAGGGATTGCTGGTTGGTTCACAGGAGCAAGCAGGGTTAGTATAAAATGTAGGCAAAAACTCAAAAACAATTAATGAGTTTAGAATTTAGTGCCAAATGTATGATGAGTCTTGAAACATAATTTCTCTCTCTCTCTCTCCAGTCCTCATTTTTGTTAAGAAACAAATGATTATAGGAATTAGTTGTTTAAATAGACTTTAGTCTTATACTTGGCCTGGCTGTTTGCATAAAGTGCCACAAGAATAATTATTTCAACATAGACCTTTTAGATTGGCTTTGATGGAAGTCTGTTCCACAAGGAGTCTCAGATAAGACCTTTTAAAGCTGAGCTCATCCATGGGTTTGCATCCTTAAACACCTGTAAGTTGGGTGATTCTCTCCTCGTAGGGTCCCAAGATAAACTTGGAGCTCCTAGACCTATTAGAAAGTGACATTCTTTACTGACCACAGCTCAGGAACCCTGTACAAGGACTGTGTAGACAAGGGTATAAGGCCAGTTTTCAACTGGGCTTTTATTGGCTCTGGAAAGTCAAGATTGACTCCTTAAAGGGAAGCATACCCTTCCAGTCAAAGCCTTGGTAAAATAACCACTTTCTCAAATTATGTCCTGTTGCAAAAGAAAAGTGGATTTTTATTGCACTGATGTGAACAACTATATTGCCATAAGTTCAGAATACTCTCAGATAGGCTATAAATAGGTCTTATTGGGTGAAAATGAAGAAAAAAAGGAAACAGGAACTCTCCCCAAAGCCAGAGTCCCCTGCTAGAGTGCTTCCCACCTGGCGATTCAAATTCCAGGTTTCATACACGAAGAGAAGGGACCAGGCTCCTCCCCACTGCAAAAGGTGCAAATTTCCTCCACCCCAGTGCACAGGCTGGTTGGAGTTTTTCTAGGGACCTCCTCCCACCCGGCTGTCTCAATGCTACTCCACTATTGCCTCCCCAGTCTCTAGTAGTTGAAATTCCATCCTTCCCACAGGTCAAATGCTGCTCTCCCTCAAGCTTTCCTGAGTCCCTCCAGCCCGAAATAGTCTTCTCTGCTTCTACATTACCAAACCATTTTGTTTTGACTCTGCAATAATGTTTACCTTCTTGCCTTCTGGGACTTGCTTCTCATGTGGGCATTTATTGCTATAAATTTCCCTCTAGACACTCCTTTAATGTGTCCCAGAGATTCTGGCATGTTGTGTCTTCATTCTTATTGGTTTCAAAGAACATCTTTATTTCTGCCTTCATTTCATTGTTTATCCAGTCGACATTCAGGAGCAAGTTGTCCAGTTTCCGTGTAATTGTGCAGTTTTGAGTGAGTTTCTTCATCTTGAGTTCTAATTTGATTACACTGTGGTCTGATAGACTGTTCATTATGGTTTCTGTTCTTTCGCATTTGCTGAGGAGTGATTCACTTCCAATTATGTGGTCAATTTTAGAGTAAGTGCAATGTGGTGCTGAGAAGAATGTATATTCTGCGGATTTGGGGTGGAGAGTTCTGTAGATGTCTATTAGGTCCACTTGGTCCAGATCTGTGTTCAAGTCCTGGATGTCCTTATTGATTTTT